AGGCTATGGTACAGTCCCCTGGTGGCTCCATCTGCAACTGTGGACAAAGGGCTATCCTTTGAGAGGACACTCCTCACCCTGCCCCAGCCTCCCACGCCCCAGTGTTAGGGCCAGGATTTGAAGGAACAAGTCTCTGTCACCCCCTTGAGCTAAAGTTGTATTTGTCACACCCAGAAGAGGACTTCGGCTGCCTATGGACCATTAGGAGGCCTCAAGAGAAAGGGAGCTTGACAGTCCTCCAGAAGACCCCAACAATTGTCATTGTGAGGGAGAAGATGACGACAATGTAGAAGATGATGTGAGAGCAGGGGGAGGATTGAACCACACTGCTATAAGATCAAGGAAGTGGTCATCAGGAAAAGCCCAGCCCCAAGTTCTATCCCATGCCCAGTCTGTTTCAGACAGTGACACGGTCTACTTGCCGTCCTTTCCTGCAAACACACAGTGCTGCTACTGTCTTCCCCTGAGGACAGTCTAGTGGCTTAGACATCTGTGTATCATTTCTTCTCTACCATCGGAGGCAGCATACTTCCTAAGAATCTCATAGGACTGGATAGAGCTAACACAGCATCCTGTCTCCTGGGATGGAAAGCCAACAGTCTAAGCACTTGCTGCATTTGTAGAAGCCCTGCAGGAAATGCTAAGGAGGCCAGGTCTGAACCACCATGTGAGCCTCTGGACTGTTGAAGGAAGGAACCTTAGAAGTCCTCATATGAGGTTGGACAAGGGCGGCTACGACTCTTGAGGCCACATGATTTTTTGTGGGATCATCTGTAAGGTCCTATTATCATGCCTCTGAATTGGATAGATCTCATGTGGTGCTAAACATCTTTGATCCACAAGCATCCCCAACTTCCATGATCACTCACATCATTTAGAGCATCCTCAGGAGGCAGAGGTCAAGGGTCCTTTACACATACTTGCAGTGGGGACCATGATCTCTCTCGGCAGCCCCTATTTTCCACGTGGTTCTGGTGTTGTTAAATAGTTGTTTCTCATGGAGCTAAGAGATCCTTCTCCCTGGGGGCTATCTGATCCCCCTGCCCACATCTGCCCTTTACAAATGTTGGAGGCCAAGTCTTCTGCCTTTGTGTCCCCCTGAGACATGGGGTGGTCAGAGACTTGAGAGACACCACCATCTTTATCAGTCTCCTCGGAAGCAGAAGGTAAACTCCTTTGGATTGTTTTGCATGCAGTGTTCCATCTCTTGGAAAAAGCAGGCTGCGCTGAAGCTATTAGTGACACATGGAGCAGATGCCTCACCACCAAAGGGCAGAGGGCTGCCAAGCCAAGAGGCCGACCCGAGATGCAGGCTGTGCTATCCTCAGAGCTGGAGCCTCTCTGATGCATTGCATGGGGCTCTGACTCTGAATTACAGGAGACTCTCGGAGGCCCCATGGATCTTTAGGGAACTTGGTCCCATCATGCCTTTCCTAACCAGATCGCTGTCCCCTGCCCTGTGTGACCTTTGGGAGGAGGGGACAATTTGTTCCTCAGAATAGGGCCAGACAGCCCAGGCTGCTGGCTTTCCTCCAGCAATTCTTGGGGCTGCTTCAAGCCCAAATGTCTGGAAACTTGAGTTCATGGAAGTGCCTGTTAAAATTTCCTCTGCTGGAGACTAAAGTAGACAGAGCCAGAGCCAGCAGGGCCCCCCAGATCCCCGACGGTACCCCTGGGTCTCATTCTCCCCTCACTCCAACCCAGCCCTGGAAAACTCACACCCTCGTCTACACCCCAGCACCGCGGGCCAGATGTGTTAGATTATATTATTGTTGAAAATATTCGCTGGTCTTTTCCATGGAAGATTATTCCTCCCTACTCCATTAGGCTGGGTCATTTGATTTGATTTAGCCAATGAATCTGAGCAGAAGTGGAGTGTGCTACTTTTGAACAGAAGTGTCAAGAGCTGTGGAGTTCGACCCTGCTTTCCCTCGGCTGTTAGACCAGCCAAGGTCTCAGACAGATTCTTCTCTCTTGGTCCTGTGTTGGAATGAACATGGCACAGAATGGTTCCGGTAGCCGGGAAGGGTCTGTAACACAAGTGAGAAATAAGCCTTTCCTACTGTGGGGACACTGAGAGCTATTTGTTACTGCAGCATGACACGGAATATACTGACTGATAACACCAGTCATGGCTGGCAGAGGTGTGTGGTCAAGACAAAAGGGACCTGAGATTCCTGCAGATCAAATCTCCTGTGTCATATGGGGAGAAGGGAAAACACGTGCAGGTAAACCTGAGCTCTTCCCTCTAACTGCCCTCTGCTTAGTTCACTGATGACAGATGGAGAAGTGCAGTTAGCGCTGCCTCAGTTTCCTCACAGTTCCCTGAGACGCCAAGCTTGTTTGGGGCCTCCGATCGGGATAGTCCAAGGCTCAGGTTTTACTCTAATACTGATTTTTTTTAACCCTCAGGAGAAAACAGTTTGTGCTCTTTAAATAAGAAAGGAAAACAGCTCTGGAATTGATTCCTGAGTAATTTAATCACCTTTTGTTCAGACCATCAGAGCTGGCTCAAGGCTTATCTCCCTATCGACTCAGACACTGAATTTCCAGGTATGACCAGGGACAGAAGGACAGGGGCAGCTTTGTCACAGGCAGCCCCTTCCCACCCCACAGCTGCTTCACCCGGAGAAGCATTAGGCAAAGTGCTCTCTCTGCACACCCCTTTCCAGCACCTCTCAGACAGCGAAGGGAAGGGCAAGGGACAGGAAGGAAACAGACGCTCAGAAAAGAAGCACAGCAAACAGATCTGCAGCGCTGGTGTGCTTTGTGTTTTGGAAAGCTCAACCTTATCTCTTATTGTAGCTGCTTCCTTCATCTGCATAAGAGAAAACAAGGATGCTGGACTCTGAGTTCTCCTGTGGCCCAATTGCTGTGACGTCTTGCATAAGTCATGCTGTATCTTAGAAGATTGGTTTCTCCCATTCTCATTGACTCAGCCATTCAACAACCACTTGTTAAAGTCTTTGTCTCTGTCTTTGTCTCTCTCTCTCTTTTTCCTGTCTACTAGATATTGAATCCAGGGTCTTCATACTGAGCTACATTCGCATCCCTTTTTTATTTTGAGACAAGATCTCACTAAGTGGCTTAGGCTGGGCTAAAACTTCTAATTTTTCTGCTTTAGCTTCCCAGAGTGCTAGATTTACAGGCATGCACCACCCAGCTTTAAACAAACACCTCTTATTTACCAGACACAGTATGCAGACAAGTAAAAGGCATAAAGGAAAATTAGATGCGATAGAGTAGAAAGATGGTTTCTCACAGGTTCTTTCCTCTTTTTGTCTATCAGGAGGTAGAGTAAGTCTAGCCTCGGCCATGTGACTTTTTTTGGCCAATGGGACAACAGTAACCGTAACAGAGCAGAGAGCTGTAAAACACTTGTATTTTGGAATTTCCTTCTGGCAGATGGCCCTTGAGCCCATTCTGTGAGTAAACCTAGGCTAAAGGATGACTTTCACATGGCCCAGGCACTCCTATGACTCAGGTTACCAACCCCTAGCATGCGTGTGAGGCCTTTGTAGTCTGTTTAATCATTAGCCAGCTGCAGGTACATGGAAGAGACAGCTAGACCAGAAAAATTATGACCCACATAATCGTGAGCTATATAGAATAATCATCATCTTAAGCCACTTACTTGGGAGTGACTTGTTACACAGCAAGAACTGACCAGTGCAGAAAGGCAGACATTCCCTGAGCATTTGTCTATTGCATCTTTAACTATGTGCCAATGAGATAGGTAATGTGTTCACTTTCCAGTTGGGGAAACTGAGGCTGAGAGCGGTCAATGCATTGTTTTGATCAGAGGAATGGTAGAATGAGGGGTAGCACCTGAAGCTAAGAAGGATGGGACCTGCTGAGGAGGTAGCTGCCAAGGGAAGGGCGGATGCTGTGAGATCAGAGGACTCTGTTCTTTGCAGCTCAGAGCTCCCAGCCTGCACACTGTACAGCCCACCTTTATGTTCTTTGCTGGTGCCCTGCAGAGCTGCATGAGGCCTGAGAAAGGAGCATGTGTGCTGAGTCCAGAAAGCCTCAAAGAAGATGTGGGGTCATGGCGAAAGGTATGAGGAGATGGGGTCAAGGCTGTGCTTTGCAGCTGAAATGCCTCATACGACCAGCTTATGGGATCTTGCTTTCAAATGATCAATTCCAATCTCATTATGACCGCAGCTGCCATTAACTCAGGAGCTAATTGCTATTAGCTTACAGAAACTCAAGAGGGTTGAGCTGCAAAAATTCCATGACACGGGGCCATCTCGCTGCTTAAATGGCCACATTCCTGTTATTAATTCCATCTGACTATTAGCTTATGACTGCTAAGTTATGATAACTTTGTATAAAGTCCTTGAATTGGACGCACGTCCTGCATGCATATCTCATTATGGGGAGCAGAGTGCACCCAGAGGTTCGATATTTTAATTTTCAGCTTTCTTTAAGGTATAGGCTTATTAAAAAGCATTGGGAAAGTTCTTGATTTGGAAGATGGCTCTGTAAGCAAAAGCCCTAACAAAAACCAGACTTTGCTCAGCGTTTTGATGCTATTAAGGTCTTGGCAAGTATGGAGAGAGTCTGAGGAACAACAGTGCTTAGCATGGGAAAGACCCTTGGAGACTCTCGTCTGCTCTCATGTTACATTTGGGGAAACTGAGGACTCAGGTAAGACAAAGTGCCCATGTCAGTATCAGGCAGATGGTCTCTGGGATAAATTAAAAGTCGACTGCAGATGCCAAGTATGCAAGATTTCCAACACAAGACAATTAAAGCAGCATCCCCAGTCCTCCCTGCGAAAAATACCTATGTGCTGAGAAACGGGCCGAGATGTGATCATTCTCTCTCCTCTGTGGAGAGCCAGCTGGCTGGAGCACTACATGACAGTGTGTAAAATTAGACATATTTAACGGGTGACGACAAGGTTCTTTCTGTCTACGTTCAGAAGCCTCCCTTAACAAGCTCCAGTTGGTTTGTTAAGAAAATAGGAGTGTGTGCAATTACCAAGCTCACCGTTTGTTTTTGTTTAACTCTGTAGCTTCTTCCCAAGATGCCTTGGGGCACATCTGGAGAAAATGGGCCACACTTTTGGCTAAGCAAAGTCTGGTCCTGAGAGGCAGCTTCTAAACGCTCTTAGAGTCCCTCAGTGGCCAGGCCCAGGGACGGCAGAGTGTGGGAGCCAGGATTTGGCTGCTGGCTGTCTCTAACTGGCTCCGTGACTGTGGTGTGTCACATCCTTCCTGGAGTCTCAGTTTTCTCATCTCTGCAAAGGAAGGCGAGGTAGGATGTCTTCGGTCCTCTCCTCCTCCTCATGTCCACTTTAAATCTCTTTTATTGGATTCTTGCTTTTAAAGGGATGGAGGAGGGAAGTGATGAGATAGAGAGGAAATTGGCAGCTCCCGAGTGCTGGGTTTTCTTAGGGTCAGGGCTTCTGAGGGGATCCCAATTAAAGCCAAGTGAGCTCTTTCAAGTGCAGATCTGGGCAGAGTTGCTTGTTGACCTTGAGAGGTGGGGATTGCTGTGTGAGAGGGGAAGGGAAAGAAGAGGAAAGAGGGGGTGAGGAAGAAAAGAGGTTACAAAGGGGAGCAGAAGCCACAAAGAAGAAAAGAGAGAAAGGGAGGTGACAGAGGGGGCGGTGGGGAGGGCAGATGGGCAGGCTCAGAAGAGGGAGAGGTTTAGAGTCCAGAAACGAGTGGCTGAAAATCAGAAGGGAGGAGAAGAAAGCAGAATAAAAGAAAGGGCAAGGAGGAACAAACAAAGACAGGGTTGGATTCTAGAGCGTACAAACAGAAACGATCCTTTACTGCAGGATGGAAGTGAGGCGAGGGGGAGGCCAGACAGGAAATGAGAGCAGCGAGCAGTTTGCATTTGGTGCAGAACCTAAGCGAGGTTGTGATTATTAACTGATTGATTGTGCATGTGCGTGCGTACTCACCCACACATGTGCTTGTGGCAGGCAATCTTTGAGCAGGCATTGTGCAACATGCCACAGAATCTGCCAATCACAGTTAATATCACCTAGAATCATAGCAATTTAACCATGGTGCCTAGCTCCATGCTGGGTTTGTAGCTAACACCCTAAGTCAATAGCTTTATGAATCCCTGCAAATCCTTTCTCTTTTCTGTCATCCTAGAGAGACACAGTTGTGTGTTTTAGCTGGAAATGAAGCCACTGCTTCCCCAGGGTAGAGAGGCAAAAAGAAAACGAGGAGATAAGCCTGCCTCAGCCTATTTCCAGGTGATACACTTCGCACTGGGCTCCTGGTTCAAAGCTTTGTTTGCTGGCATAGAGTTTTCTCTCCCTTGAATGCTCAAGGAAAGGGCTTTGGGAGGCTGAGGGATGGATTTTGGCTCCTCAGTTTGGTCTCTTCCTCTCCTCTTACTTCTGGATCAGGTGATTTGGCTCCAAACATCACCAAAGATACAAACTTGTTGTCTGCCCCTGCTCTGTAACTTCCCCGCCAGCTCCCAGAGATCTCTGGGCTATGAAAATAGAACAAAGCAAAGGTCATCTCAGGGCTGCTGTGGTTCTTTTGTCTAATTAGTTGCCCTTGATTTTGCTATTTCTACTCAAAGGACAGGACCGGATGCCATGATCCAAGCCGAGAGGGCGCTTCCTGGTGGCTTTCAATGGCTGCACATTGGCTCAGATCAGTCAGTGCCCCTGAGCACCCGCAGCCCTTCCGTATGCTGGAGACGGAGAAAAGCGAGACAGACGCCATCCACCCTCCTGGAGCTGGTGTACAGGGGGACCAGCACTTAGACGACCACCAAGATGCCTTAGAGCGAAGGGGCAGGAGAAAGCCAAGGCCGGAGAGGGTCACGGCTTCCAGTTTGCTCAGAGAGGCCAGGATGGCATCACCTAGAAGAAGCTCCATCAGGGGGGTGTCGTGCTTCAATGTCCCCCCAGAAGCCTGCTGCTGAAGTGCTTGGGGCCCTTGTCTTAGATGACCATTTGTCACCTTACACTGGCCATGTGTCCGTCAGGTAGGCTTCCTTTCCTGAATCCAGAGAATGCACTTGGTCTTTTGTTGCTGAGAATGATCTCGCCCTCTCCCCAGGCTTCCTCCCCCACATCCTATCACTGCTGCCCCCTTTCCCTGACATCCACTCTCAACTACTGCCAAATCCAGTCTCCACCACGGTCCAGCACTGCATTGTCCTCACCATATTTCTGTGGTGTGTGACCCACTGACCATCCTGAAAGTCTCCTACCCTCTGTCATGCCCTGTCTGCTCCCTCCTGGGCTCTCCATCCCTGGTCCTCCACCTAACAGCCTCTATTCCTCCAAGTCTTTCCTTTGGTTCCCTCACAATTCTCCCAAGATGGTGGCCTCCATTTCTAGCTGTCCTCACCAGCTGCTCATCCCTCTCCCCTGAGCCGTGGCCCTCCCCACTGGACTTCTCCATCCCTCCATGGTCCCAGGTCTCCACATGACATTTGTGTCCATGCCACCAGCTTTCCCCCATCCCAGCTTGGGAATGGGGCCCTTCCAGTCAGAATTCCATTGAGGAACCCAGGCACTCTCCCAGCCTCCCTGCTTTCCTGAGTGGGCCTCAGAGGCCTGGCCACTCCTGCTGCTTTTATCACGAAGCAATCTCCAAGTTTCTTCCTCCATTTCCGCTGCTGTTTCTACACTGGCTACTCAGGCCCATGCCACCTCTCAACTCCCAAAAGATCTCCCTGACCCAGGCTGACCCTTGGCCCACACACAACTTCCAGAACAATCTTCCAGATGCACAAATTTGACCGCATGTCTCCCGCTCAAAACCTTTGGGTGGCTTCCTGTTGACCATGGTTTTGTGGCGTACAGTCCCCAGCCTGTCCATAACCCCTGGCACCTGCCTGCCTGGCCATTGTCCACACTGCACACTGCCTCGCTCTGCTTGGCACTCAGTATTCTGGGCACATCCTGGTCCTGCCATTCCAGACACTCAGCAGGCTGTTCAGTAGCTGACTTATTCTCTCTCTCTCTCTGCATTGTAATTAGGTATGTGCATCCATCCCCCAGCCTGGGAGAAGAGCCTGAAGCCTGGTTTCATCTTCTTCTCATCCTGCATGGTAACCCGTGTCACCCCCTTGACGAACTAACGGCCATCAACCAGCGCAGTGCTCAACTCATGGTTAAAAAAGAGAATGAAACTGACACTTGGCAGAGAAGCAGAGCAATGTTTTGATTCTCTCCTCCTGCTTAATAGCTATGCACCCCTGGGCAAGTCCTTAACCTCTTTGCTTTGTTTTATCTCTGTAAACTGGCGTGAGAGCTATGAGCTCATGAGAGGGCTGCTGGAGACAGAGACGGCACACACTGCTGTGACCTTTGCAGTCAGCTCCTTCTGCTCTTCATGGTGCATGGTAGGACCCCCAGATAGTGGTGGCTTGGTTGCAGGTGGGCTATGAGGAAATGGCTGGATCATGGCGATGCTAATATCACCATCAAATCATTACTGGGAAGTGGTGGAAACAGGAGGTGGGGCCTTATTGAAAGGACTGGGTCATGGGGGTTGACTTTGGAGACCAAATCCGATCCCTTGCCCTTCCTCCTTGGCTCTTTCTTTCTGTCCCTTGCTTCCTACTGCCATGACATGCGCAGTCTTGCTATTTTATTGCCTCCCACTGTGTCATTCAGCTTCTCTGTAGCAATGAAGCTGGTTGACCTTGGACTGGAATCTCTGAAACCAGGAACCAAAGTGCTCTCCTCCTCTAAATTCTTTACCTCAGGCATTTTGTCACAGTGACTGAAAGCTGAAGAATGCACCTGCCACATAGACCTATAAGGTCAGTATTCCACTCTCCTTTCACAATATTCCAAGGAAGTAGTTTTGGCCACCCTGAGTTTTCCTGTTCAGAGATGATGTAAAATGTCGCCTGTTCTGTCTTTCTGCTTAGGACACTCCTGGTTGACTTTATGTCAAGGGCAAGAGAGGCCCTCTAGTGAGACTGAAGAGTGGTTTCCACAACTCAGAGAAAACCTAGAGTGTGCAACATGGGGACAGATGTGTACACACTGTCTCTTGAGTAACTTTTATGATGCCCACAGAGCAGATGAGACTGTTTCTTGGATCCTAAGGGGTCACAGAGGAAAGCTGAAAGCTGTGTGTTTAGTGCATCCCTCTCCCTTTGGGAGTGCTATGCCAGGTGCCTCCCAGGCTGCTTCCTTCCCACAGCGACTCCCTGGCAGGGAAAGGCAGGTGGAGTGGGGATGTCACATGTCAGGGCCCTGAGGTTTAATTACACTCTGCTCATGTTGCTGTGTTGTGGGGGCCATTTCCACATCAAAGGCTCCTCCCTGTGATGTGTGTCTTATATCCATGTCTGAGGGTCGGGTGCAGGGATGGATGTGGGATAGTTGCTCTTCTATGTAATATCTAGAGGTTCATGGCAGGGATTCACCACCCCCCATGGGGTGTCTTGTCCTCCCAGGAGGTATATCAATGGGGACACTGCTTTCACACAGTGCTGGCCTCCTGTAGGACTGTTCCCACAGGACCCCTAGGACTTTTGGAAATCCAGGATGTAGGAGCCACTTTGCCCCAGCTACTTTGCCCAGGTGAAGCACCTCGTGGAATTCTGAGTTGGAAGAGCTGGTCATGAGAATGGGGAAGGAGCAGGGAGCTGGGGAAGTCTACTGATGAGCCAGGGAGATGGCTGACCTTTCACATTTCCTGCTCAGTGAGGAGAAGACATTTTTCCAAATGTGACTCTGGATCAAGCCCAGGCAGAATGATTGGTGTCAAGATAAAAAGCCCAGACCATCATCCCGGTAGCAGACTCCTGGTTCTTCCATAGTTCATTGCAAGGCCTTAGGCCTGTCTTGTCCCCTTCAGAGCCTCTTTTTCTCAGCACAGTGGGAAGCAGCATCCGCTTCATCCACTTATCTACTGGTTACTTGTGAGTGTCTGTGGGCCAGGTCAGGGGCCAGGTGCTGAGGCAGAAAATGAGTCTTGGCCCAGAGTAGTAGCTCAGTGTTGGGGGAATCAGGCCAGTACCTCCATAATGAGTGGTGGAAGAGTGAAGGGGGAGTCTCACTCAGATGTATGGGAACAAAAAGAGCCCTGTGAAGAGCTGAAATGTGGCCCTCAAAAGACATGTCCAGATTATAATCCACATCACCATGCATGTAACTTGTTTGGAAAGAGAGTTTTTGCAGATGCAATTAACTTAACTTGAGACGAGGTCATTCTAGATGATCCAGATGGGTCCTAAATCCAATGATTAATGTCCTTATGAGAGACAGAAGAAAGAAGATACAGCCAAAGGGAGAGAATTAATAGGTGAGGGCAGGGGTAGACATTGGAATGATGTGTTTCCAAGCCAACGAATACCAGAAATCACTAGAAGCATGGAGAAAAGCCTGGCGTGGACTCGTTCCCACATCTGTTAGAAGGAACCAACATGGCCAGCACCTCGCTCTCAGACTTTATGTTGTCTTGGAAGTCTTCTGAATGAGATGACCTTGGGAATGAACCTCCATGTTCAAGTGGGAGATCATGGGGAAAAGGGAGGGAGGTATTCAGGAAGAAGGACCACAGGTGAGGAGGGATAGACAGGCAAAGTGTGAGCAGGGGTCCACATGGGGCCCAAAAGGGCTGGACTTGGGGGACCAGAGAAGACTGATATCAAAGACAGCCTTTGCGTCCAAGATGGTGGTCTGCTTTCCAGGAAGAATTTAGATATTGTTGCCTGGGACACAAGGGTCCATTTAAATAACTCAGCAAGGGCATGCCCCAGCTAGTGTGTTTGTAATAGCCTCTTAGTGACCCAAGAGAAGGAAGGGTCAGGAGCTCAACATCAGAGCATGGGAGCTCAATGGCAGCCTGGATGGTGGGGCTGAGCTGGAAAGGGTCCAGACAGTCACATGGCCCAGAGGACTAGGGGACAAATAGAGAGAATGTGCCATCAACAAAATTAAGGCTTCCTGTTGTGGAAACTCCATGAGAGCCACCCAGCTGGGAGGCTGGGTGATGGCATTTCCTGAGAAATGGAGAAAGTGAGGCTTCCAAAGTCTGGGATGACTTTGGTTTGGGGACATATTACACCTTGATGGGGTTACTAAAAGGATCAGCTGAGTATAACTCAGTGCAATGTGCCCAATACAGGCAGTGACTGAGAGGAGACGCTCTATTTTTGTGAGGTTGCTGGAAAAAGAGTCCCAAAGGAGGGAGAGGATCTGTGTCTGCCAAGCTAGAGACAGAAGGTGCTCCCTGTGGGCTACATCACAAACACTGGGTGCCAGACCACATCAACCCAACCCACTTCACAGCAAGCGATTCATGTCCCAGATCTCAGCACCCTCTGCCAGTCCCAGCAAAATCAGTGCATCCTGTGCCAGCTGTGGAAATTGGAAGCAGTCAGGAAGCTTGGACAAAGAGTCCACTGCTCAGCACTTTCTGCATCTGGGAAGAAAAGCAGGTGTGGGGGAGGCTGCCTGGGGCGGAGAGGCCATCAGAAGGTTGCGAGGCCATAAATAAGAGATTTGTGGTAAATAATCTGGTGAACACATCCGCTGGCTGCTCTTTTTTATCACTCACCTAGAGAGCAAAATTCCCCCACATCTTTTCTGCAGGCCAATAAATATCCTTTGAGGAGCCTGTATTTCCATAGCAAGCAAGGAGGTTGCTACTGCTCCCCAGGCCTTGCGTCAAGGAGGAACAATATATGGCCCTAAAGAGAAGGGCTGCAGGAGAATCAATGCAAATGCAGTTGCTTTTCCCAGCGTGATGCTGCTGAGCAGAGTTCAGCCCAAGTTCAAGGACTGCACTTGGATGGTGGAGCAGGGCCCCTTCTGCCAGGGAGGAGACTCTCAATGCTGGGTCCCCTGCACATGCTTTCTGTTCTGGGCCTCTGCTCACAGAACTCTTCCCCCAAATAAGAGAGACCTGCAAGATATACTAGGGAGCCTCTAGAGAAAGCACTAGGTATCATTTCCACTAAAGGATTCTCCAAGGGCCTCCTGTGTGTCAGGTAAGTAGAAACAATGGCCCAGGAGCTCCAGCCCTCCTGGAATGCAAGTAGCTGCAATCAGGCAGCCTTGCCAGTAGCAAGGAAGACTGGGCAGTGGACTGACAGATAAGCTGAGATGCCTGGAAGAGCTGAGAGCACAGGCTGCTTAGGGAGCCCAGGTGAGAACACAGGAAGCAGGATGCTGGGAGGAGGCAGATGATGAACATCCTTACCAGTCAGAGCACAGCCAGGGAGAAGAAAACTGATGGGAGAGAAATCAGGTGACTTTCTGGGGTGTGGATCCCTGTCTCCTCCAGCCTTTGGAGACTCTGTCCTTTGGGCACTGAGAATCACTTCCAGGTCTTAAATGGTGATGGGTGGACATCCCAGCAGGTTCTCAAAGCATTTTCTCATGACCATAAAAGTTGGAAGAGGCTGCTTCATTCTACAATAGTATCTGGCATGAATAAGTGCTTAGTAAGGTCCCCATGGAGCAACCCTCTGAGGGGAATGATCCAGAAAACACATGCCATAGGTGTTACTTTGTGCTCTCCCTCACAGATGTAGAGCAGGCTGTTCTGAAAGTCAAATTCATGGTGGCTGATCTGGATTTGAAATTCAAGTGCAATCATTCCCTTATCTGTGGGCTCATTGCCCATAGTTTTAGTTGCATGTGATCAATTGAATCTGAAAATGTTAAATAAAAATTTCCAGAAAGAACCACTCATAGGCTTTAAACTGTACACCATTCTGAGTGGTGCAATGAAATCTTGAGATGCCCATCTGGGACTTATCCAGGAACCGAGCACCCTGTGTCTGCTGCATCCACACTGTATATGCTACCCTCCCATAGGGTCACTTACTCTACCCAAGAGTCTAAGGTATTAGACTGTCCTGGTATCAAGCACTGTTCTCATGTTCAATAGCACAATAAGATATTTTGAAAGAGAGAATGAGAAAGACCTCATTCACATAATTTTATTATAATATGTTAATTATCCCATTTTATTATTAGCCTTTGTTGTTAATCTTATTGTGCCTAATTTATAAATTAAACTTCACCAGTAGTATGTATGTAGAAAGAAAAAAGCAATAGACACAGGGGAAGGTATTATCTTTGGTTTCAAGCATCAGTGGGAGGTCTTGGAACTTGTCTCCTGGGGATAAGTGGGGACTGCTGACTCTGTTGGAAATAGTCCATGGTGATGCATTTTAGAAAGGGACGTGGAGATAATGTAGGGACCATGTCAGAGAAGCAAAGAGGAGAGGAAAGAAGAGCAAAAAGGACAAAGCATTGATTGGAGAGTGAGTGTCTCATCCTTTATCCTGCATGCTGCAGGTGTAATTTATGGCTCCAAGTGTCATCACAGAGGAGTAGCATCTTTCAAACACCATGAACACATGCTTTGAACATGCACACATTTGCATTTGACCACAGTACATTGTTTTCCTTTATAAAGAATGAAGGAAACTGCTTACAGGACATCTGGCTTTTTTCCTCCCCCAAGCCCAGATGTGATAGACAAGAGAGGCGAATCAGTGGCCTCTGCCTGCCTGGAGCATTTAACTGGCCCTTCCTAGATGGGTATATGATTGTCCCTCTATACTTGGTTGAGACCCTAGAAGCTGTTATGTGCTATCTATATCCTGTGGCATTCTGGAGTCTCAGCAATTGGAGAGGGAACTTCTTTGCCCACTGCCTCCTAAGCATACTTCCGGAGTGGTGAAAGAGTGGTAGTGGCTGGGCGGAGATGGTGTTTTACCATTGGCTGTGGCCAATGACAATCACTGTGCCACATTTCCTGGTGTACGCTTATTGGTGAGACCTTGGAGGGGATGTCTTTGTAACTCTGATCCCATAGAAAAGCTCTAATGGACATTGATGCCAGCTCAGAGCAGGCCCTGTTCCAGCCATGGCAATGCAGGGATTTTGCCTGCAGAGCAGGCAGTGTTCTTCAGATGTTTGCATCCCAGCTTCAAGAGGAAGGAAGTAGGATATCCCATTTTGAGCCTTCTGGCCTAAGTGTTGTTTCTCAGCCCTGCATTTAGAGAAGAGCAATGCAGTGGTGAGAGAGAGGTATCCCCATCAGATAGGGGTAAACATGTCCCCTATCCTGCTGCTGGCCCTTAGGCTCTATATGCAAGCCACCTGAGCCCCTTGGGAAGGAAATTTATTATGAGGATTTGGGAAATAAAGCCTTCATCACATCAACAGAGCAGCAAACCCTATTCCGAGCTCCCATGTTCCCTGCTGGAGGCCAGAGGTCGTCAGTTGATTCATAAGTAGATATGTACTGGGTCAAATGATCAGGGAAGCCACTGGGTCTGGCAGTAGATGCAGGAAAGACTTGACTTTTTGAGCTTCAACTCTGCATATGCAATTGGTTTTAAGATGTCAGGTAGGTTATCCTCCCCGGTGGAGATGAGAATCTCTGCTTTGTCATCCTCACATAGCAATTGCGCAGCTCCAGAAAGAGTGCGTGGAAAAGAGAAGTGTGCTATATGGATGGGTGCAACCTCAGACCTTTGGCAAACACAGAGCACTGTGATAGGCCTCCTACATCCCTCCCACATGCCGGCTTCCCAAGGGGATGGAAGCCAGTCAGCACTTCTGTCCCTGTAGAGTTCCAAAGACTGGGTCATTTGCACCAGAGAGAGGGGCTTATTTAGCTGATGATGTGGGATACTCTAAGTCCGAGATCAGACAGCCACATCTGGTGAGGGCCCAGAGCTGCATCATAATAAGACAGCAAAAAAGAACTGGCAGGCCTATGCAGAAGAGGCAAAACATGACGGATGGCCTTGCTTTAGAGCGGCCTGCTCTCAGTAACTAATCCAGTCTAGCAGGAATTAACCCACACCAATAGAGGGGCATCAATCCCTCTCACTGTCTTAGTCTTAATCACTGCTTAGAGACCCCATCACCTAACGCCACTGCATTTGCAAACAAATTTCAAAGGGCTTTCAGAGGGGAAAAACCATATTCAAATCGGAACAACACCCTGGCCAACACAGGTTCTGAACTGGGTAGGAAAGCTACCCACTCACTGATGGCAGGAGGTGGGCAGAGTGCTCATGACTCTGCCAGGCTGGGGCCTGTACTTCTCTGGGTACTGAGGGCAGAGATGGGTTGGACACAGTTGTCCTTTGGCCTTCCATGTGGCCCCAAGACTGCCCTCTGCTCTTGTTTTTCTGCTGAATTCCATTTATCACAAGACAGATGGTGGCGGATGATGGGAGATGGAAGTCCTGGACATAGAAATTCTGCTAGTCTACAGCGAGTCATTAACTCTTCATATTAACTTGCTTGTCCAACTAGTATATAGCACACAGAGCTGCCTGAAGAATCAAGAAATGCCTGGGTATGAACAGAGTTGATAGCCTTCAATCTCCGTATGCATATTTATATAATGTTTAGTCATATCCTGCCACCGTCCCTCAATATAGGCCTGAGCCAGAGTGCTAGAGGTTGTTTTACTTGGTTCCCAGACCCAACTCATGCCTCACTCAATGCCAACTAAGTGAATATATAATAAAGAAATTCATATGGAATCCAATATAAGTTAATAGATAAACATTGGCCATTCAGCTCAAAACCGAGCTCCCACCTCCCCCAGACAAGGATGCCAAAATCAACATTCTCAAGTTCACCAAGGTCCCAGCAGCCCCTTGGCAGAGCTAAGACCCCTGTAGGTGGTTGGGTGGGTGGTCTCTAGATTTAGAAATGAGGCTGGCGTTCATTTATGGACACAGAGGTGCCCAGAATGATTCTTCACCCCCTGCCCCATCATGCCCCATCAGTGACAGCATCTATGCATCCATGCAGTTGTCCTCTGCAGAAAGCCTCCCCACACCCTTCGGTTGGGTCCTATCTGGTCCTCAGTCCCTTAGGTTGTGTGAGAATATCTCCTGAGGGAGTGAATGTCCTAATATTGTCACTTGCTGGTGAGCCCATTTACACCTTTGTAGCCAGCGCTCATCATTATGTACTCATTTGAGATTCATGGCTGCAACACTGTTTGTAATGTATTTAGGGGAGAAGGGCTATTAAGGGAGCTGTGACAAAATCTCCCTCTGGTCACACAGGCAGTCTGCACATGCAAATATCCTGTGCGTCTTTGGGTCCCTCTGGTCCAGGAGTAGGTACTGCGATGGAGGTGACAGATGGTACCTCAAAGATGGCTGGAAGGAATCCTGGCTCCTGCCATTTCCTCTTCCTGTGACCTTGGACAGGTCATTCCCCTTTAAGAGACAGAGCCCCACTGTCATCCAAATGTCATTCTCTGAGAACTGAGATGATGACTCACTGAGATAAAAGGATGGGAGGAAATGCTTGAAGCATTTTAATCAACTGTCGTCATCCAAGCACTTTCCATGTGATCATGCACATCATCCTCATGACAGCTCCTTGGTGAAGGCTGTCATTGTCCCCACATCATAAACAAGCCACCAGCTCTAAGAGACCTATGCCATCGCCCTTGGTAGCAATACAGGGCAAGCTGTGGGAGTCCTGGCTGGGATGTCCCAGCAGGCTTCCCAGAGAAGGTCACGTTAGAGAAGGATCCTAAGGGGTGACAAAGATGGCACCACTGAGTACAAGTGGAAGTGGCATCACATCACATTTCCAAGGCATGGATGGTAGGACAAGAAGTGGCTGAGTATGCATATGGTTTGGGAGAAGGGTTTGAGAAGCCAGAGAGATATTCCATGCCTTTATTTAGTCATTTTTTGCTGGTTACCAATATTCTCAAATATTCCAGAAATAATCCCAAAACAGCACTCTTATATGGCCTAATTTCAGTTAGAAAGAGTAATAAGAAATCTGTTCCTACTGCAAATGGGTCTTTGCTTTTGACAGCTGAAGTCCTCATATCCACAAGGAGACTCAGAGGTTCTATCACTGGAAAGATCTAGGAGAGACCAAAGTGGTTCCATGACTTCTTTAGATTCCAGAGCCATGACGCTGGAGGTGCTCCGATGCATGGCTCCCCACAGCTGAGAACCCAAGGCCAAAGAGCCTTATCCCAGAATGGGGTTTGCTGACCGCTTGAAGATGCGAGCTTGAGAGAACCCCTTAGCTCTGCCTCTTGAGGGTTGGTGACATTAAGTGGTCATGCTCACAACCTTCCTCCCTGATAAGACAGTGGAAAGAATCATTGTTTAAACTGTAGATGTGATTAAAAACGACAGTGAATATTTATTTTTTATTTTTTGTCTTTTTTTTTTCATTGTTATCGTAACCAGGGATCGAACTCAGGACCGCCTGCTTGCAAGGCAGGTACTTATGCTGCTGAGCTAAACCCCCATTCCCCATGAATATTTATTTTTGAAAGTTTATTACAGTAAAAGGCACATTGCTATGAATTTTCTGAAAATACTTCCCCTGGCTTTGAACCCACTTATCCCATCGTTTACCCTACTTTCTGAAGCAGCTCTGGAAGTCCTCTTTCAGGAGTGTTCTAGTTGAACTATGGTGGCAGTCTCAGTGTCCTGAACTGGTTCATAACGTTCACTTTTCTGGTTACTCTGAGAAAGCAGTCATGCAGGGACAGATCCAGTAAATATGGTGGAGGAGGACACACCATCTTGTTTTCACAATCCTGCCTTTCTGCTGGGTGGCACTGGCAGCAGCTTTCTTGGTATTGTTGATTGCACTTCATAACAACACTCATGAAAGAGGACTTTCAGAACTGATCCAGAAAGGGTCAAGAAAAATGGGCTAAGGGGCTCTGAGTCTGCAGTTCATGGATAGCAGGGGGGTAATAGATTAATAAAGGAGATTTGGGGACCCACAATCCCTGCTCCCCACAGCTGTATACAAAATGTTGAGTACAAATATATATTTCTTGGGACTTTGGTCTTTTTTCATTGAATTCTTTAAAAATTCTACAGCTATATCACGTTGAAGATGCCCAATCTTGTCAGATTCTTTAAAGAGGTCTCTGATTCTACAAAGTTTAAATATCTCCACTCTAAGAATGGTTCAGATTTTATATATATATATATATATATATATATGTGTGTGTGTGTGTGTGTGTGTGTGTGTGTGTGTGTGTGTACAAGATAGATAATTATACTACTAATGTCTGTAATTTCATCACAAAGTTTGTGCTTTAAATGTTTGGTTGTTTGATCATCTTTTATGCCTAATTTTGTAATCTGAACAAGTACTTTGAAGATAACAATATGCAATATATTAACTCATGTTAATTTTCTATGATTTTGTTTTGAAATTCTGTATCACTGTTTTTATTTTTTTTGTTTTTATCTTTAAAATAAAAATGAATAAAAAATACATGAATATGAGAACCTCAAGTAACAACAACAATAAGAATGGTTCACTTTGGACCTTACACCAAGCAGATGCCAAAGATGCCACCTGTCCTGACCTTACCAGTTTAGGATCTGCTCTGAGATGTGCTTTAATATTATGGCCCACTTGTTGACCACGAGGGTCCACCAGAGGATACATTTCTGGTTAACTCTCTTTGAAGACATGATCTATAACAGTATATGGTGCCAATCTGAGAAACACACAGTACATTCTTTTTAAAAGTTAGTAATAGAAAAAGCCTGTGTCCTCTGATGACAAGGTATGGGGCTTTCTTTTTATCAAAAGGAGAGAACTGCACAGCTGGAGATGCATCCGTCCCTGCCCCAGTGCCATGAGATCTGAGTTACACTTGGTTCATTCTCTCAATGGTTTCAATTCATCTTTTAAATTCTAACCACACTGGGCACTGGGGCGAGTGGATTGGCTGGAACAGCAGTAACGCAGCTACAAGCAGACTTTTGGCCCCAGATCTGCAAATGCATTTTCCATCCCACCACAACCTAACTGACTTACAGGCATTTACTCATCCAGGACAAAAGAATGACTTTACAAGTATCTACCACTATTATGACCCTCTAGGTACGAAGGAACTGAGGAACCAAAGCTAAATAAGTTCCTCAAAGTCAAGTGCAGGGCCCTGCCCTCTGACACCTGGAGTGCACCCAGCTGCTGTCTCCACTCGGCTGCTTGCTGGATCAAGTCCATGTATTAAGACAGCAAGACCACTCCGTGGGGCACCGCGCACCACAGTAGATGTCAACGCCTGCATGACCTTGAAAGTGGCATTACTGAGACCACTGTATGAGTGCTCAGA